TCTTCGTATACTACAACGCGTTTTCCCCGTAATTTTTAAAATATCCTATGTAAAATAGGGAAAAACCCAAATCCGAGGATTTGAGAAATTTTTTTTAAAAAAAATAAAAAATAAAAAGAAAAGAGAAAGGAATCTCGACGTACTATCACCGGGAAACCGATTCGGCCAGTTTTCCCATTTTTTCGACGAGTTCAGGTGATAACTTCTTCGCCGGTTTTCTCTCCTTCTCCGGTCTGAAATCAAACCCTAAAGCCTCCGAGACCTCTTCGCAGCTCCAACCGGCTTTCCGGAGAGATTCTGAGAACCGATCGGCTTTGAGAAGAAGCGCATCGAGGACGGCTTGATTGTCCAGCAAAACCATTTCGTCTCCGAAAAATCCTGAAGCTGAGACGTTGACGATGTCCGATATATCGGTCTCGTCCCACCCACCCTCTCTCAGAACCGACCCGATTTGTTCAATGTATTCATGGACCCATTTGGGAATTTCGGATCTCGGCATCTCGAAGTACCTCTCCGGCGAGGAACTCGAAGACCAGGATGAGTTTCTCCGGCGCCGATCAACGGCAGCGTCGCTCCAGAACTCGACCCATCTTGGGGTTCTCGATCCAGCTACAATACCTGTATCCAAGCTTCTTCTTGAGAAATTGGAAGATGACCCAGCTGATCTTTCACTAACAGATCTCTGCTTCTTGAGCAACTCCGGGTCGGTTTCCGAACACCGGAACAAAGATTCTCGCTCAAAGAAATCGGATATATCATAACCGCAACAGAAAATCCGGGCCTCATCGATGAAGAAAATGGGGTTCCCAGCTAAAGACGGGTTACAAGGGATGTAGCAGTGGTTGAAAATGGGAATCAAAAGGGGTGCTCTCTTGAGCGCATTTCTCGCCACCCGTAAGGCCTTTTCCGGGTCCGACGGTCTCGGCCCCCAGGATTTGGACCAGAAAGTGTTGCGCGCAATCTGAAACGAGATTGCAGCGATGGGGAGATCCAGGGAGGCGCGAAGATGCAAACGCGCGCCAGTAGCTCTCCAGTCGGGGAAGCCCGGACCCACCGGCAACCCGGCCGATAGAATGGCCCTAAGGTCCGGCGGGAAAACGAACCCGAACTCAGCTTCTGCTCGAGCAAACTCTGCATCCGATAGACCCGGCTGAACCTGGATACCTGAATTGCGTAAATGGATAATCACCTTCTCAGCAAGCGAACTGAAAGACAGGAGGCTATTGCGCACCGGAAGAGAAGCAGGAGTAGATGGCGCGGCGGCTCGAGCAGAGAGGCGACGCAGGCCCGCTATGTGTGCCGGATTCAGACCGGCCATTCTCCGGTCGACGTCGACCATTGTAATTTAACAGGCAGGTTCTTACCTTTAAAAAGCTATAGCTCTGTTTTCGTCGCCGGAAAATGCCTCCTCTGTTTCTGTTCTCTCCGTTTCGATTTCGACGACAACGGAGGAGGCGCGGCGTCTTAGCAAGGGAGTGGAGTGAAATTGGAGAAAAGCGGAGAATGCGTTGGGTGCTTTCTCGGAAGCGGGACCTTCACTTGTAAAGGAAGCCTGACGAATTTATAGCAGGTTTTAGTATGGGGCCCAGTTTTTGAGATGTTGGAAATAGTATTGTTTCCTTTTTAATTTCCCTAATTACCCTTTAGGCTTCTGATAATGACAATCAATTACACAGGAAAACACGGATTTCTTCTGTACTTGCCTGGAAAACTGCACATTGCGTTTTAACTGTAGAGCAACGGCTATGTTGGGGTGATTTATCTATTCATTTCTCCTTTTTTTTCACGCTTTTAGCTTTAGGATCAGGATGTAGACAAAGATGGTAATCTAATCTTGGTCACTTTAAAATTTGTAGAGGAAAGTTAGTTTGTGTGTTTTCCAACATTTGATTTTAGAATACATTTAAGAATGGTAATTATTATATATTTTTATATTAATTAATATTTAAAAAATAAAAATTAATATTTATTGAAGTAATTATTTAATTTAAATGATGCATGTGATGTTAGTAGTGAAATTAATAAGAATTTTTGTATTTTTATTACTAATTAATATTAAAAAGTATAATAATTAAATTTTACAAATTAGAAAAAATTTTAATTTATAAATTGATTTGAAATACTTTGATGGTACAAATTCAAAAAAGATTTTTTTAACCTATGTATAGGTTAAAAATGTATTAATACATCTTTTAATTATTAATTTATATTGAAGAGTAAAAAAATTAATATTAATTTTAATATTAATGTCACGTACTCTAATTTAATTTATTATTTATTATTTATTAAAATTAAAATTTATTTTTATATAATTTAAT